CCGATTTTTGTTCACGGCCCATGTTCGTTCTCTGCTAACGCAAACTCACAGAACGATTGTCCCGTACATGCGTAGAAATCTTCGAAATCCTCAAAAGTTTCAGTTGTTAGAGAAATAAACGACTTCGATGTCCGAACATTGTGCTTTGAACATACATTTTTTATCGCACAAACGACGACCGCACTTGCACTGGAGGCGGCCATTTTGGAATCTAAAAATAGGTAAAATGGTGGCACGTGATGTGGTATGCGATCGCTGATTGGCTAAAAGACGCATCATCGACCACACGTTTCCAAACACCATCGGAAGTCGGGACGAGAGACAAAACGTCATCATCAAATAGCAATTTTTTTTTTTAAATTTAAACTGTGTAATAAATTAAAATCTTATATATGTTTAAAAAAAATTAGGATCAGGACGTATTTTTAGGTAGGGTCGGGTTACCGGAAACACACCCTTTTTTTTTTAGGCCTAAGCCATATTCTATAACATGAGTAGTGCTTGAATAATGTTGCCTAACTTTTTGAGAAGAGGAATTCATGAAATATTACGGACCCTATTGACACTGCTTAAAGCATATCTGCGCCTCTGTGTTATTATTTGAATTCATTATCGTCTAGTTTCAATCATTTAGTAGTCGGAAAACTTTTGATAAAATTGTGGGTACACTGGCACAACATCGGGAGAATTAGTGCGTGTTGCAAAGTAAATCGGCATGTCTGGGTTTCCGTTCCGTAGTAAAATTATACTGTCCACTGGCGGATCCAGAAAGTCGGTAAAGGGGGGCGATCCTATTGACGTTGACGTGGCCGAAGTAGGTCCCGGTGGGCTGGGTTTGTCAATTCATTTTGCGGGCTGAAGGAGGGCGCCTGCCCCTAAATCAGAGCGTGCTCTCGACAGTCCCTTTGGTCTAATGGTTTTTTTTCCAACTAAAATAAATTTAAGGGCGGTGGTCATTCAGCTTGTGTTCCAATTTCATGTAAACCACCAAAAACTAACCAGGTCTGCGCATTATACCAGATCATCTAAGTATCATTAAAATTTGTTGAATGGTACATGGGAAAATAGAGAAAATGCGCAAAATTTGCTAATTGATATACAAATTAGGTAATTAATATTAACGGATTTCAATCAAAAACTAATCACGTCTGAGTATCTACGTACCATTGAATTGAATTCTGATAATTGATTCTTCTTGACATATCAGTGGAACAGACGTACACACAGACGCAATAACCGCAAATACTCCCACTGAGTGTTTCGCACCAACTTGAAATAATAAAAAAACAAATAATGAATTATGTCAGTGTATGTATAGTTATGAATTGAAAGTGAAATATCCATGCCAACTACAACTTGGTTTCAGATTGATCGACGGTTCCGGTATTTTGAAGTTTTGCAGCAGTCAATTGGCCTTCCGGTCCCCACTGTGATATTTTTTTTTAAATCGCTATTTTTTGAGCAATTATTTTGTTTAAATCGCTATTTTTTGAGCAATTCCTAAGAGCACAATTTTAAAGAAAAAAATGATTTTTTTTGACACTTTTGGAATAATTTAGGACAATAATACGTACCCTATCATTCCGAAATATGGCGTAATATTCGGTCGGTAGATTAGATTATTTAAGACTGGTATGCTGAATTACTATGGGAGAACGTCATACTTCAATGAACATTCAAAGTTACAGTGTTTCCTGCAGTGTTTCATCTCATCTAGATAATAGTACGTATTACAATTTCCAGTTTCTGCGACGCGTTTATAATGCCGATACTCTCAGGAGTATGTTATGAGTACTTCTCCTTGCACTACGTCTTCATCAGTCGTGAATTTACCAGTTCTCATATGGTCATCACAACTACGTCATCTCTTATGTCGAAACCACAGCAAGTTAGTTATGAACTGTGATAAATAAATGAAACAGAATTAATAAACTCCAACTCGTCACACGGTCTTCTTCAGTACTCTTTAACACTACTCTTATGCTAAGGGCGTTCACAATCGTACGCAAACTCCACGATGACAACCAAACCTTGTAACAGATCAAAATTATTTTATTTTCCTCTTAGGAAGCTTTGGCCATAGATACTATGTGCACAATTTCGTAGTCGATTGATTTAGGCACTCACTAACAAATGCTCACAGTGTTTGCCACTTTTGACGGAAAACCAAGATTGCGACCAAATCGTGTGACTGATCTGAATAATTGTTCTGCTGTCTGAAGTAGTTCAGTATAGAGATGCAACATGGAAAATAGTTACCTTGTGGCCATTCTGTTTTAACAAATTTGGTTCCAAAGCCGTATCTCGTACATTTCATGAATATTTTCAAACTTTGGATATACAACATGCATTATTTCGCACACATGTACATGTATTCATTTAACAATTCAAGATGGCCACAAATGGCGGCCATTTTAATGTTACAAAATCATCTAAATTAAACATGTTTGCCATTCCTAAATCAGATTTCGGTCATATA